AAATATTAAGCCTGATATCAAAGACATGGAAATGCTTCTCGAATCTTCGTCCAGGCTGGTGGCACACTGAACAAGTTATGCCATGTATGTCCCATCTTCTTTGATTTTATTTACTGCTTGTGATTGGCCTAATCGTACCTGCAGGATATTAAATTTTGATTTTTTTTCTTTGTGGGGATTCAGTTCTTTATTTACTTGCGGTGTTAATTTTATTATTCTCTCGCTGTATGGCTGTTGTGTTCTCTGGCACTCTACGGAGTCGCCCAAATTCTCTCGCTGTAACAAACTGGGGGCTTTGCCCGTTTCTGTGATCAATATATTCATGTGGGGGAAACTCCGGTGAAAATTCCAAAAAAAATTATTATTGCGCAGACCTGATATTCTTGTGTGCTGGATTCAGTTCTTGACTTGCATCTATTCATTTTTATGTATTGCTGCTCCTATAAGGCGCATTTGAAGGATGAGAAGGTGGCTATTAATAACTTTGAAAGATGAGTTGAGTCACTTTTTTGCTTGCATCAGGCATGCTTGATTTCTATGGAGATACATGGTTAATGGTCTATCGAAGTATGTGCATGCAAAGCACAACTTCAGATTGGTTTGCATTTTATGGGCAGAGTTGTTAGTTTTCGTAGGATGGCAACCTTCAGATGTTGATGCAAAAGACAAGCCATGCGTTACTTGGTGCAGTTTTCATATGGTCTATTTAATTATCTTTCGTCTGATGTCGTCATGGTACAAAGCATAATTTTGCCAAATGTATTGCTTAATGCTGGTAGGAAACATAAACACATCAACATGAACTGTTTCAAGCTTTGCTTTGCTATGTTATTAACTTCCAATAGCATATTACATGAAATATTCATTGCATCTTATTTTGCACCCTGGTCCACTCACCAAAAAGGGGCAGCCCACAGTGTTTTTTTAAGGATCGCAATGAAGCAAAGTAGAATCTTGTACTAAATTGTATTAATCTTGTTTTTGCAGTACTTTTGCATGCAGTAATCTTGTTCGTGCCTTTGGAAGCAACGAGATTTGTCCAGACTGAAACAAATGCAGCAAGAAAGATATTTGCTAGAGGGAAACATGTGCACTGCAGTTCTGTTGAGCGAGATTAAGTCGGGTGCACATTTGTTTGGGGTAACCTTTCTTTTGTTGACATGAATTCTGTTTATTATAAACAGATTGGTTTGTAGGATTTGAGGCTGCAACTAGCAAATCTGAAAAGCATTTTCTTTTCTTGGTTCACTAGGAATCTTATGGGAAGTAGCGAAACTATGATTTGGCCGTGGAGGCGTCACCTAACAATTGTGCTTTACAGGTTAGTTTCTGATCCTTATGTCTAAAAGTATATTTGTACAAGTCTTAATAAAACCTATCGAGTTTTATAAGGAATGAATGTTGTTGTGTGATTAAATTCCATGTGTAGTTAGCATGCTAGGATAAAAGCTCTGAATCATGTACTGTAACTAACAAGTGTTGTTTCAACACATTGGTCCGAATCTTTTCCCATGAATCTCTTACATGTAGCAATCTGCTTCAAATATTTTAGTAAAAGCTCATGATGACTTTGATGAATCTGACAACATGTGTAGTCTAACCGCATCAATTAATCTGGCATGAGGTTATTTGCCTACACTAGCATGTTATTAAATTAGTAGTGGTGCTTGGCAAAACAAGTTGAAAATCAAAGCACATTGTTGTTTCTCAAATATGTGTAGAAGCCTCTTTCTAAAAGATGTGTTTCCAACTTTCTGTCCATACAAAGCAAGTCTTGTGCAATTTGTATGCCAAGTTAGTAAAGCCCATCTCTTTGCGGCTATTATTTTAAATATTAGTCACCCTTGTATGCTCAGGTTTCGGTTCATGTTTGTTCTGTACATACCAAATTTCTTGCTCTAGGACCATAGAGAAAAAAAAGGGTACCAATATTTACATATTGTGAGCTTGCCCCTAGAAATTTCTTCAGTTTCTGTGAACTCTTGTATTACGAGAAATCAGATCAATATTGGTGGGTAAGAAGTTCATGTTTTATTTTCCAATTTTATTGATGATTGATTAGTTATTCGTCACGTTCTTTAAGGAGTTGGCGATGGAAATAGCTGGGGTGTCATTATTCTTGCTTGATCTGGGCGTATCACTGTTGACCTGCTGGAAGAGGTGTGCTGGGAGTACAACATACAAGCTGACGTCGGTATCGCGACATCATTAGGGAGATCGGCAATGAGAACATGCGTATGTTTATTCAGTGCAGTCACCATCTCAAATTAATTAATTAGTTTCAATTAACTCTGTTGATTAGTCTATACTATTACGCTAATTACTACAAATCTGAAATGCAAATTGATCATGTCTACATTTGCTTAGGATTTTCAATTGACTATGGGATGTTCGTGGCAATGGTGAAGAAGGGGATCATCAGGAATGGAAGTCTGACCATCATTCTCCATGGAGCAGACGACCTCAACTATCCTTTGATTGAAATATTCATATACAACACACTATATTTGTTCGCATTGTGCTATAGATCATATCAATATTTTTAAGTCAAGTCGTGTAAAAAAAACTGAGGATAACAAGTATAGGAGAAGCTTTAATATTAGAGCAACAGGGGAGGAGCAAATGATTGAATGGGCTATCAGCCGTGTAAAATAAAACTGAGGGTAACGTCACCAGGTGGAAAACTATATTTGATTGACATCATAACACTAGCAAGGTGAATAACAATGTAACATCATCTTTTCATTAGTTGATCCATTCAACTTCTGGTTGATATGATTGACATGATATTTGGAAAGGGAAGTTATTTGTTCACTTTGTATCATTTTTATGTGTAAGCTAATAATTTGGCACTGTGCATTTGCCTGCAATTTTCTACTCCCCCTGTACCGTAATATTTGTAGATTTAGCAGCTCAAATATCTGAAGAAAAATAAAATGTGCCTGCAGTAATTTTCTCCAGAAGTTTTTTTCATTTGTAGAAGGATAGACAACGGGCTCCCAGTAAAAAAATAGGATAGGATCGGTAGCAAAAAATGAGGATAGGAGAAGTTGGTAGTTAAAGTTAGTATAAATGCCAGTTAGCATTGTTTTCATTCTGTAGGATTGGCATTGCAGCTGAGGAAATATGTGACATAGAGTAATTTTGTCAACAAAAGGACATTTGACTTTTAACGTATCTTAACACACTTCACAAAATGAACGAGGGAATATTAGGTTGTTTTTCTATTCGTCTGGTGATAATAGACGTGCGTTGCACGTGCATGCTTACTAGTAATAAAGAAATAAACGAATGCACTGAAAAGAAACGGAGGAAAAAGAAAGCGTTGAAGGTCTGGTGTCCGCTGGGCCGGCCCATTCTGGCGCGCTTCAGGCGAGCGCTCGTACAGCCGTACAGGATCGGGAGTCAGTTATGCGCCGCCGCCTGCCCTGCGCCGTCGCCGGCGGAGGCCTCGAATGAGGATCCAGTGGTGGACAAATAAGCAGCTCCCCAATACAAGCAGCAGCTCCTCCTTCCCGAGCCGCAACCGGCAATCGAAGCAATCAAGCAGCTCCACCCCGGAATCAGAAACAGGCTCTGTTTCAAATTCAGTCCCCGAGCTTCCATTGGTGGCGGGAGCAGCCAATCCTCGGAGGAGACGCACAGCAACAACTCTAGACATCAGTTTTCAGAAGAAGATTGACCAGCAATGGCGAGGGCACATTTTTAAGAACCATGTACTTTCGATTTGCACATTCACATAGTATTTGAAAGTGGAGCACCTAAAATAGCTCTAATGATGCACTCGAGTCATTTCTTTCTAATTTCTTCATGTGTTAAAGAGGCATGTGCAATTGGAAAATAAATGCTCTGCAAATGCAAGTCGGGGCAGGCGGACCTGCTGAGGTAGAGCAGAAGCTGACACGGTGGACATGTTTTCGCATGGGATATATTTTATAGAATGTTTAAGGTATTTTTAAGTCTGTTCAACATCAATTCTTGATTCATCTGAATTTTCTCTACGAGGATCAGTTACAACGTGAGTTCTAGATTTATTTGTCCTTCTTGTTCAATAACAGTAGGTTCTTGATATTTTCTCCTTCAAATCATTGCAATCAACAATAAGTTGCCGTTAGAGGAGGAGAGTTTCATCTAGTGGAACCACACCTGACAAGTCCGATTTTCTGAAGCAGTAAACGCACTAAACATGTTTATTAAATAACGGAGAAAAAGAAAGCATCCAATGTTGTTCTTCAGTAGATTCAGTTAATCTCACATAATTTCAATCTAGATAACCTTAGTATGGAACACAGGTTCAGAAAAAAAAATCTGATCGGGCGGCAATGGTCCTTAGTTCTCTCATTTCTATGGGTGTGTGTGTGTCGAGATGTCTGCCTCTCGAACTGTTCCTGGTGCCGAGTTTACCCGGTGGTGTTGGATGCGGGGCTCGCGCGGTGGCGCTCGAGGATGAGGACAGGCAGGTGAGGGGATCGTGGTTCGTGGACTCGGTTTTAGCTTTCGGCCTGTCTAGATCAGTTTGGCACGGTAGGGAAATCATCAACTCTGTTCGAGTTTATAACCGCTGCTCTCACCAACTACACTGGCTCATGCATAAGTACACAGCAACACACACATGAACAAGCCAGTAAGCTGTTGGAGTGATTCTAGCCAACGGCTCGACCTGTAGGGCTGCTTTCAGAAATGGGAAACCACACAGGAAAAATCAAATAGCCGATAGCTCTTCATATGATTGGTTTCTTCCTCAGATATTTCAAGATTTAGTCACCTTCTGAAATTAAAAAACAAAGTCCTCCGAGTAGCAACTTGGAACAGATTTATTGCAAAACTTAATATGATACTATTACAAGCCGATACACCACCACATAAGTATTATGCCAACAATACGCACTACTCACGCAAAAAAAAAAAAAACGCACTACAAGAGACCATACACTCATACAGGAAATACAGATAGCCATATTTCACATCGGCAAGTCCTGATCTAGTTTCGTAGATAAAACTCATGAAAGATTAGAAACTTCAGACGGTTTTACACCTTCAGCAAGAACTTGAAGATACCTTGGAACAGGCGGCATTTCAACATTAACCAACCCTTCTAGGATCTGAACAATTTCCCCCATTGTTGGCCTGGAGCTCTCACTGTCTTGAACACACCAACAGGCAACCATGCATGCCCTTTCAAGCTCCCTTAGGTCCACATCATTGACAAGTTCAGAATCAATCAATGTTTGCACATCTCCTTCCACTAGCTTCCTCACTACCAACATAGGAAAAAATGTATTTGCACTTGTGCCAGTATGCATATTGTTCCTCTTGCCAGATATAATCTCAAAAAGCATCATTCCGTAGCTGAAAACATCAGCCTTTGTTGTGATAGCCTCACCACTTATCCACTCAGGTGCAAGATACCCTATGGTGCCTCTCATTGATGTTAAAACCCTACTAAAATCTCGGCCAAGGAGCTTTGCCAATCCAAAGTCTGCCACCTTTGGGATTAGATATTCACCCAATAATATATTTTCTGGCTTGATATCACAATGTATGATGCAATCCCTGCACTCCTCGTGCAGGTAAGTTAATCCCCGTGCAACTCCGGTCGCGATTTGGTATCTTGTGCTCCAACTTAAAGGCGCACGGTTACTCCTAAACAGATGATGATCCAATGAACCATTGGGCATATACTCATAGACAAGCAACCGCTTCGTTCCTTCGGAACAAAAACCAAGTAGTTGAATCAAGTTGACATGCTGAATTGTTCCAATAGTACTCACTTCAGCCCGAAATTGCTTCTCCCCTTGGCGGAGGCCCTCTAGCTTCTTCACCGCCATTATAGTTGTGTCTGGTAGAACTCCTTTGAACACAGAGCCAAAAGCTCCCACACCCAATATCTCAGAGAAATTTTTGGTAAGGAACTGCAGATCATTGTATTTAAAGCTGATCAGCGATCCCTTAGCAAGATTCATACTGTTAATTCTTCTCCTCCTGCGGAGAAGGAAATATAAAGCGATCGCTGCACAACCTAGAGCAGCAACTCCACCAACGGCAACTCTGGCAATCCATCGTTTCTTGGTTCTTGAATCTGGTAACTCAGAGGCTGCTACCCTTATATGAATGTTATCCAGAGAACCGTCAATGGTGTCTTGCAAATTCAGAAGTTCCGCATACCAAAGTGAGCATGTGCCATTATAAGAGTAAGCGGTACATGAACAATTGTTCAGGCAAGCTGACTGGCAGTTCTGATTGCTGGTACCCTCAATACTAGTTTGTGCTTTGTCAGGCAGTTTCACACTGTTGATTGTATAGAACCTATCCTGCTTTTCTTTCTCCAAGCCCTTGCTGCTACACTGCAACTGGACATTTCTCCTACAGCCTGCAGTTGGGTCGCCCAGATTCCAACTATTTGGATCACGCTCACTGAAGCCCTTGAGGCAGCTACACGATGATGACAGGGCACTCCCACTGCACTTGCTGTAAGCTCCACAAAATCCATACACATCGCAGTTGGCCTTTGGTTGTGAAAAATAGACCACCCAGGCCTGTGCAGCCTCCACCCATACAGAAGACTGGGTTTGACCCGACACTCCAATGACATGCCTTGATAATATTCTGTCATCGGTGACATTGTAGGTGAAGTATGTTTCCTGGTCATTGTCAACAAACTGATAAGTGTATGGGGTGTTGGGATAGGTATTTGCACGCGACAACTCCGGCATGTTAGGAAATGAGCTGCCGGTCCAGTTGCCAGTGTCCCAGTACACCATGGAGCTATTCCATAGGATGATGTATTGCTTTGAGCCATTTGGATCCATCTCCACGGTGAACATTCCTGGTGCTGGATCACCATTGTTTTTCCAAGAAATGATCCGGTTGGACACACCAGTCACCTTGTTAAAACTGAGCTTATTACCTGGGAGCCATGTGTCTGTCATATCATCGAAACTTTGCCAGACCACATGGGAGCTGTTGGACTTGTGTCTAACCACTAGGTTCCCTGTGTCAAGGAGCACAGCAATGGTGGAGTTAAAAGCTTCATTGGTTGAATTGCTTGACCAGACAATCGATTTGGACTGACGGATGACAATATTTCCGTCGTCAGAGATCGTCAGGCTTGATGAGGCTGGATCAGATATTGGTTTCTCCCTGTTAGCCACCCATACAATAGTTTGCACCGGGATTTTGTTGTACCAAATACCCACGTACCACCTGCCTCCAGATCCTTCAGCTATCCGTGTATAAAAAGATCAGTGGAGAAGTCAGTATAATTGATAGATCGACACAAAAATACATAATGTGAATTTCCCAAAAAAAAAACACAAAAATACATATAATTATAAATGAAAAAAAATGGAGAACATGTGGTTTTAAAATTTAGGCCTCATACAAATATGATGATGTTTCAAACTGTAGTATTACTGGCAATACAAGATTGGTGCCTCTATTATTCATAAAAGGTACTTCCAAAATACTATAGTTTTTGCTAGTGTCTAGAATTAATTCCCTGGTATCTACTAACACGTCGATAGTAAGTCTAGTAAAATTACTAGGAGCTTGCATATATCTGTTACTATTATTTTCTAAATGAAGCTAGGCAACTCCACATTTCTAAGACGTAGAAAATCTGCCCAGAAATTCCCACCAAAGATTGGTTGGTGCCATCTAGCCGCACTCCCATGACTTAGGTGGAACCAGCCCACCAAGGTTCAAGTCCTACACTTGACGCTAGTGCTCATATTTTTTTAGTATTTATTTTAGGCTTTCCTGCTATGTTTGTTTAGTGAAGGAGACACTCCCATCGACTACGATGCGTCTGTGATGATTTCGTCAATCTCAATAAGTTTTGCTGGCTCAATATCTTGAAGGTGTTAATAGAGATAGAAAATATGTGCGTGCGTTTATAGGAGGGGGTGCATGTATGTGAGTACTTGTGATTGTATCGTGTTTAAAAGAAGATGCTTCCAGTCACACGGTGAGAAAAGACTCATCCAAAGACCACATAAAAAAAAAATACTCTGTTGTTTCCTCCACACGCCAAACCAATCAGCATGTAAGTGATTTTCACAACTTCAAAAAAATTGCATGTAAAAATAAAATCTACCCAACCGAAAAAGCAAGTAGCACAACGAAGCGCGCACTGCTCTTTTCGTATATAGGACATCTAGCAAACATAAGCATGACTAGGGCAGTGTACACGGCGACTGACACTATTCAGGAGGAGGGAGGAAACTAAGTAGACGTACGGTGGTGGATGTTACCTTGAGGCTGGAAGAACCCGAGCGCGAATTTGCCGCGCTGCGAGATCAACTTCTGGTCCCCGGAGAGCGGCCGGCTCGCCGTGAGCGTGTCGGTGGCATTCGAGGACGACCCATGTGACGGGACCAGCAGTGCCACGACGACGAGCAAGTGCAGGAGCAGGAGGGAGCATGAAGGAGGAGGGAACCAGCTCGCCATGGACTCAAATCGATGCTGTACAATGATGGACCGATCAGCCTCCTCGCGGTCGCTATATATGGTTCGTTAGTCTTCACACGCGCATACCTGCACCACACCTGGTCCATGTTTAGTCTCGGCACGCGCATACCGGCACCACAACTGATCCGTGTACTGTGCCAAATTGATTGGTGATTTTTGGAGATTTTATTGATTCAAGATATAGCATCAAGGTGATATACAAATATAATGAGCACACGTCCAAACTTCATATGATTATTAGGATGGACACAACCAACATCAATGTAGACATACCCCTAAAAAAACATCAATGTCCACATAAAATATCACGCCGACAAAGAGCAAAATTATACAAGATAAAAACTCTAGCTTGACGAAAGAAAGGGGGGAAAATTGAGCATCAAAATAACAATCGATGAACTATAACAACGACCATCGGCCCACCATTTGACATTACAGAGACAACAAGAAAGATTCTTCACTAGTAACGTCTTCAGGAAGGGAGCAACGCTCAAGCATCATTGTCGTCGGATGTAACCACCGATGGTTAAATCTCAGGTTTTCACCTTGAAGATAAAGGTCGAACAACTACTAGCAATGTCTTAAAAAAATTAACGGCATGAAAACGTTGCCATGGTCAATGGTCAGGTATAACCAATTAGGATCAGATCTTACATCAAGAAAAAAATAGAGTTAGACCAAAGACTTTCACTCGAGACCAAATACTAAGGAAGCATCACGAAATCAAAGTCATCAAGTAACATCGCTATTACCTTTTCCGATCCCATTGCATAGCACGGTCTTAACGTAAGATGACCGCACAAGCAGCTAGTCAAGCCGCTGATGATGATGTTACACATGTATGCCCGATGAATATTGACCAGCTCAGGCTCAGCTGATTTGTGCGATGTGACGCATCTGGCTCGCCTGAGTGAATTGCAAAAAACATCGACATTGAAGGCTAGGTTTGCAGAAATCACAATTCTACAGTTTTGTGCCGAAAACCACTAATTCCAAGGTTAATTTTTTGCAAAAAAACACTAGTCGTCGGCTTAGGAGGTTTTGAGCACGATTATGACAGGGAGGTCCCACTAGACAGGGCGACGTGGCAAAGAAAAAAAAAGCTAATTACACCTTGATACATTCGTGATTTGCAAAAGGACCCTTGAAAAAAAAGCAATCAGGTCCTCCGTGACCAACGTCTCCCACTGGTCCGGTGGTCGACGCCGCCTGCCACTTCCTCTCCTGGCTGCCACCATTGAGAGCCGGGGGAAACGTGGCGTGAGGCCGGGATGGACAGTGAGCGTGGCCGACGCCATTGCTACTCGCGCCCGTACATGGCCTGCGCAGCGGCTGCTCCATTCGGTGTGCCTCCCCGTCACCTTGCCAGCGCCGATGCAGGTGAGCAGCAAGGGCCGCGGCGGCTTAAGCTCCGGCCGCGGTGAGGCGCCCTCCCTCACCAGTCACCACGCCAACGCGGGCCAAGGAGCGGGGATTGGGAGGCCGGCACCGACGCCAGAGAGCGAGGGGGAGGAGGAGGAAACGAGCTCCTTGCGGAAGGACTTGGCGCCGACGAGCTTTTGTGCGTGGAGGCGTTGAACTCCGTGGTCGACACGACGCCACCGCGGAACCTGCGGGGCGGCGGTGGCGCGCAGCGACGGGTCCGCGGCGAAGGACTTGGAGGCAGCGATAGGTCCGGGTACTCGCCGGTGGACGTCGGAGGCGCGGCTGGACGCCGGGAGCAGACCGGATGTGCACGCCGGGGCCGAGCTCGGCGGCTGGACAGCAGGAAGACGATGCCAGATTTTTTTGTTTACTGCACGAACCTTATCCTCTTCGGTCCTTTTACAGTTTAGTCCATGCTATTTTTTCTATTTGTGATCTGTTATATTGTGCCATGTCGCCCTGTCCAGCGGGACCCTCCTGTCATAATCGTGCTCAAAACGTTCTAAGCTGGCGATTAGTGTTTTTTGCAAAAAATTAACCTCAAAATTAGTGGTTTTTAGCACAAAACTATAGAATTGTGATTCCTGCAAACCTAACTTTCAATGTCGATGTTTTCTGCAATTCACTCAGCTCGCCTGGATGCGCGGCCGCACGGTCGTTGGTCATAGTTATCGTCTTCACCGTAGCGCCGTATGGTAGGAGCCGTTGCCGAACGTCAATAGACCGCAGCGTCGATCGTGACCGCCAATTCCGCCGTGCGTTTGAGACGGTGTGGACTGTGGAGCGTGCTGGTTCTACCACTCTTCGTGGACTGTCGTCAGTCAAATTTTCCGCGTAGGATTATTAGAGCAGCACGATTTTTTTGGGCGCATATATTAGAGCAGCACGTTAATTAAAGCAGATTTGTGATTCTGTCGAATATTTAGTCACAGTAATTTGAATTTATTTGAAGTCAAATAAGATTAGTAGAGGAATTCTTTTGCTTAAGGACGTATTCTGGAACATATTGAATGCTTTTTTTTCCGAAAAGAGTGGTATGTACTCCCTCCGTCCGAAAATACTTGTCATCAAAATGGACAAAAAGGGATGTATCTAGAACTAAAATACATCTAGATACATCCCCTTTTATTTATTTTGATGACAAGTATTTCCGGACGGAGGGAGTACTTCATTCTAACACAATATGAATTCTGAAATGTAATGCTTTATTTTCTTACCAGATAATTGCCCGTGGTTGCAACGGGGTATACATATTCTGATGGTTTAACATCTGTTATGTTTAACATATACTCTCTCCGTCAAAAAATAGTTGACTCAAATTTGTCCAGATACAGATATATCTAAACACGTTTTAGAGTTAGATACATCCGTCTCAAGACAAGATTGAGACAACTAATTTGGGGCGGAGGTAATAGTATATATTTAGAATCCTTGTGTATGTCCGACAATATTGTCATATTGTCAATCGCATATCTCACTCGTAATCCCCCTTCCACCCACCCCAGCCCACATATTTTGAATTTCAAACACGTAATTACGTTGATATTATGGAGAAAGTTAATTGCACGTGATTATTAGGTACGATAGATATCAATTACACGTAAATGATACTATTTGATATGATATTAAATTAAATGTTGAACATGTTGAACGCTCATCATTGGAGCAATCTAAATTCTTGGATTGACATGGTTTGATGGCTGAGATTAGTTGGATCTATCACTTTGGGTCTTTTTATATTTGTATAGATATAGATCCAAGCTGTAGACACTTCTGTCAATTCATCCAGCTTGCAACCCCCCCTTCCACCCCTGCCACACACACGGTAAACTGTAAACTCTAGTTTAGTTAAAGAATATTATACACAGGAAACAAGCCCTAGAAAAAGTAACTCACCTTCTATGAAATAACAAGCCCGAGGATGAGGAGAATTACCCCTACTGGCAGCAAATACTTGCACCACCACGAATCTGTACACACTCGACACAATCTGAGCTCTTCACAGTTATAAACTTGTGGCCTATCTTTATAATTATAATAAACAAAAAATAACAAGGTTACACAAAGACGATAGAACACTTGGTCTAATAAATATGATATCAGATTAGCCTAATTCCTACAGACGCTTACATGAACAAGTATGAGTGCAGCCAGAAATCGATATTTATTAGAAAAATATAATTCGTTATGAGAGTTCTTTATGCTACAAAGATATACAAGCTGGAATATGACAACGAATATCCTTTACAAATTCTCTCATTGAACTGTAAAAAGGGCAGCCCGGTTG